GTCTTCGCTCCTTATCAACCGTTATCGCTTGTTATCACTTCTTGATCATCCGCTATCCGTGTTCCCGTCCCATCCCCTATACCACATGTGAGAGCCAAGGTTCCAATGTAACCGCGAAGGGCCGCAACGAAACTGGTGGTATCCACACTTTGACGCCCCTTATCAGTTCTTATCAGTTGCTACCACATTCGTTCACTCAACTTCTTGGTCCCCGCCTCACCCCACATATCATACATGAGTGCAAACTCTCCACCGTCAACGCGAACGGCGTAACGAAATTGGTGACATCAACATTTCGACGTCCGTTATCAGCTCCTATCAGTAGTTATCACTTCCCGCCACCCATCATCAGTGTTCACCTCCACCCCCTATATATCCTAGAAGTTTGAGCGCTCTGGGTCCAAAGGGAGTGAAGTTATGAATTTCCGGTCAGACACACACACTAAACAGCCACCATGCTTTGGATGTCAGGATGATTTAGCGGTCGAATAATATTGATGCCAATGATTTTGCAATAGAAATACCCATTATCGTATATCGCTAAACATCCATCATACATTCTTAGGGATTTTGGGAATATAGCGGTCGAACGGTATTTTATGTTGATGACAACAACGCAATGAGATGATTCTGAAGTGAAATGCGTTATCTAGAACCACGGTTTTAAGCGATCCATATGTTCCCACGTGATTATCGGCCCTTATCACCTCCTGTACCTCACCGTAACATGTTCCCGTCCCACTCTGTACATCACTTCTTGGAACCAACGCCCCACTGCTGCTGGGACGCGCGCTATGAATTTCGTGAAATTTGCGTTTCAGCGCCTCTTATCAACCCTTATCAGCCCTTATCACTTTCTGTACCCCACCGAACATGTTCCCGTCCCACCCTGTACATCATCTATGGGCCAACCGCCTTTCCAACCTTCATCCTCCCAAGTGCACACCTAACCTCATCCTCAGTCCAGAGTGCGATGGGACCAGCTGTGGCCTCTGCCCGTGAGTTGTTCTTGTGGGGAACTCCTCGTTCAGAAGCCCCGTGAAGTACTCTTCCCACCTCCTCTTGACTTCGGCTGGCTTCCTTAGGATGACACCATCGCTGCCTTTTACACTCTTCACCACCCTGATGTCTTGAGTAGCCGATGCCGGGCCTTAGCCAGCCTGAAGACGAACTTCTCTGCGTTTCTGCTTTCCAACTTCTCGTACAAGGCGTCCATCTCCGTGTTCTTCGCCTTGGCGACGGCAGCCTTAGCGAGCCTCTTGCAACTCTTGTAGGCAGCGAGGTCTTCGGGGCTCCGGGTCTTCTGCCAGCGCTTGTATGCTTCCTTCTTCTGCTTCACGACTCGCTGGACCTCCTCGTTCCAGAACCACGCTGCCTTGTCTCCTCTGAATCCACCTCGCGTCTCGCCCAGTACCTCCTTGGCACATCGCAGGATGGTCTCAGCCGCGTTGCCCCAAGTCCGCTGTATTGGCCCGTTAGGATCTGGGAGACCGACTTCCATTATCTTTCGCCTTGAGGTCATCCTTCTCCGCTTGGTGCAGCTTCCACCACCGGATTCTCCTCTCGGTTCTTACCCTTGTCTTCTTGGGGAGGTCTATGCAATGTCTGCCAGGAGGGGCCTGTGCTGGGGAGCCAGATCTTCGCCGGGTAGAACTTTGATATCCTTCACAGTTTTGAGGGATGATCTTCTTACCAGCACATGGTCTATTTCCGTCTGTCTCCCTCCACTGCTGTAAGTTACTCGCTGAGACTGAAATCTCTTCTTTGAGTTCTTTTTTGCTGACATACACAAGTGCGGCTTGCAAAAGTATTTGAGGATAGCACGCAAGCCTAAAAGGGAATTCGCTCTACTTTTTCTTTGAGAAGAAGGCTACACAGCCAGAACTCACAACACTAAACTCTTCTTTATTTTCTGTAATCAGAGATTAAGAATCCAGCACGGCATCCCCTCCTTACTGACTGGTAACCTGTGATCATGTGATGAAGGGGAAGCCATTACTTTTGCCGACTATTTTGAATCAGTCTATAAGGGGCCTTGTAAGATAGATGCCAATTACCCCTATTTGTCCCACTTCCGACTAGATTGGATACATATCTCCAGCGTAGCCCTTTACCGTGCGCTTTGTCGCCTCCCAAACAGGTATTCATCCTCACCAGGCAACATCCCCTAAGTATTTTTGGGAAATTCGGCCCCTGGGCTCACAGTTCCTTTGACGATACTTTTCTATCTTGCATGAGAAGGTACCATCGGTATGGAAAATTGCGATAGTTCGCCCTATTTATGAAAAAAGGGGCTAAAACTGACTGACAATTACCGGCCAATATGCCTGACCATCTCTAGTGGCCTCAACGTGGCGTGGGTATGGCAACAGCCTCCTGGCTAACGCGTACGGTATCTCTCGCGGGTAGTAGAAGCTGAACTCCACTCAAGAGATTTCCTCAAATTCTGCACAATGATGATCAATGGATTTTTCAAGCATCCCGATCAATGCTAGGTTACCCACCGTAATGGGTCATGCTAGGACGTCCACCGTAATGGACACACATGCTAGGAAGTCCTCCGTAAAGGACAAACATAAGATGTCAGGATTGCCACGCTCAACATCGGTATCGTGACAGGTCGCTCAACTGAACTAACAGAAATGCTCAAGAAAAATTAACTGATATTTGTGCACCACAAGAAATTAAGTGGACAGGTGGCTAATGTCGTGGAGATCACGACTCTTTTTTTCTTTGCAATGAGTGATACTGTAGCTAGAACGAATGTTTTGGAAAGTCGCGCATACCAAAGCCATGGGAAAGCTCGCGACGAGGCACTTATCTCCATAAAACATCGATAAGTGCGTATAAAAGCGCTTATCA